ATACAGACCCATGAATTGTCTAGAACCAGTGTGTGGCCATCTGAACTTTAGTTTGTGCATTAGCAGTTATCATAATCTAGGATAAAATTTCAGGAATGGCAACTGTTCTGCCACAGCCTCATTCATACAAAATGGGTCTTGGGAAAAATGTTTTCTTTATGGTTCGTTCTTTAAATCTTGCTGCCTGAATCAAAGAAGAAAGCAGCTGGTCAAACTCATTTATCCTCAATAAAATAATGCAACATGGCAACGAATAGGCGAAGTCAGCAGCAAATTTCATCCGTGTCCTTAATCAAGGAATCAGTGCTATTTGTGATCAAATAAACATTGCTTCTTAACATCTGTTCTTCAGATAAATATTGCAAACCTAATCAGAGATGATCACCTTTCCCCTTCAATGTCAGTAACTTGAAGGTAAGATTTTAAGGAATAGAAAACCCCAAAAATATTTTCATTTCTTTGCACTTTTAATAATTACCTAGAAAAACAGTGGAGATACTCATTTAGGAAAACCACTACCACATACATGAAACTTGACGTTTCCTAATGAAAACGGGACTACCAATTTTCTCTACTGCAAACTGGCTACAGTACTTTAACATGTTCTACTTAATACTGGGCATTGAAGCCAGCAGCAATAATGCTGAGAGCCATCTTTCCAGTTTCCTCTCCCACTCAAGGGGAGAGAAAAGGAGGATGGGGTATTTAGTGCATTGGGTAAGAAGGGAGGCTGTGGAGTCTGAATGCTTGGATTTAAAACCCGCCTCCACCAGATCCTAACTGTGACTGGTGTGGTCTTTCAGCATCTTTGTGCCTCAGCGTCCTTGTCTGTAAAATAGGAACAATAAAAGCACTGACATCAAAGGGTTCTGAGGATTAATTAAAGTAATTCATGTAAACTGCTTCACATGGTACCTAGCTTGGTCACTGCCCAATAAAAAGTATCTATTTTTATTACTCTCTTACATGTGCCTTACACCCCTGTTCCGCAAGACTGCTTGCTGCCATAACCACACTGTGCTTTCATCCCTCTGTGTTTTGTGCTTTTTGTTCTGAATCTAGACCACCCCATTGCTTGTTCTCTGGCCTGATGAAACCCTCTTCCCTTCCATGGCCCATCTTGGAAATGGGCCTAACCAATCATGACTTGGCCCTGTTGGCTTGCACCTCCAGTGCTCTTTGTTTGCCGTTCTTTTATTACACTCATTATATTAAACCTGACTTTCATTACAGTAATTGATGACCCTGTCTCCTTCATGGGGAAGGATTGTGTCTTACTAGCCCATTTACTCTCCATAGTCTTTAACAATCCGCCAAGAGTGATTACTCAATGAGCATTTATTAGATTTGAAACAGTTGTGCTTACTTATGACAGTAAGCATAACATATTATACTACCTATGACAGCAGCTCTCTCATGGGATGCTTGCAAATGTTCAATGAGATGGCGCATTGTAAAGGGCTACTAGCAAGTTTTATTATTTTATCATTATCAACCACAGCTAAGAGTTCCATGTGCCCGGCATGGTGGCTTTTCATTCCCCTTGCACAGAGTAGGTGAAATGAAGGTGCTTTTTAAATGACTGATGAAGAAAAATGGCGCTGATCCGGCAAATTGGCTATATTATTAAAAAGCCGGCTTGGATGATGAAATTCCTGATATTTTACAGCATAGTTTTGAGGATCAAAATAATTCAAGACCTGAAAAAATATAACTTGCAAATCTTATAAACGAAAGGTAGCATTATGCAAATGTGTGTACCCAGTGTTCAGGACTACTGAGGGTTTTGAAAACAGCACTGAGAACTTCCAACATTCTCCATCTTCTCAACCATAAACCAGGCCAATAATTAGAACCTCCATGCAGGGCGCTAGGACGAGTAAATCAGGCAGTGTGGTGAAGTGCTTATGGAAGTGTGGTAAGTAAACACACATGCTGGTCTAATTTGTTATTATCATAAGTGATGCTCTCAATTATCTAGTGAGTGAAGATCTAGAACCATGACCGATAAACTAAGTCCAGAGCTGATGCAGATGTTCTTAAGTCACACACTGTTCCCAACTCTTGACAGTGTGAAATCACTGGTAGGTCACTGCCCTGTACAGGATGATGGACGTGGACATCAATGAATAGTGAAAGGCCCAGCAAAGTATCAGGGAGGAGAATGTAAAAGCTTGGATAAGCCCCATACATAACTGGGATAAGCATACATTCATTTCTAAAACTTCAGGAATTAAAATGCCTCTTCAGTTCCTGCAAACATATCAGTCTAGTCAAATGAAGAACACATTTTTGTATTTTTGTGAAATGCTTTCTTTTACATATTACAGACATAATTTTAATTCGTCCTTCTATTCATTTTGGCTTTTAAAAGTGGTAAAATGAGAAAATAAAGCAACAGAGATCCGAAAGGCAAAATGCCACAATGAAGCAAACAAACAATGTTTTCTTTTTCCAAGCATAATTATGTAAGCTGTTTAAAGGAAAAAAGCTACTAAAGCAATCATTTAAATAAAACTTAAAGGGAGATCTAGAAGTTCTTTTCAGTGAGTCTAATTTCTTGGTATCACTCTACAAATCTTTTTAAATGTAAGGATGTACAAAGCACGAAATTTTTTAAAATGATGACAAGGATGGAAACAAAATGTTTTGCAATGATTCAAATGTGTAATCTACTGCACTTACATGCATTTTTTTTTAAAGAAATCTGTATATGTACAAGGCACCAAAATAATCATTTTCTCGAAATGATTCCAAGGCATTAATGAGATTTTCTACCAAAAAAAGAACTCCCCAGACTAAACGCCTAAGTATGCATGTCATGTGCTTTTTACCAGCACAATCCTGGCTTTGAATGCTATGGAGACATAAATGAAAAGACAAGAGGCCAAGGGGGGTGCCCCTTAGTTCAGATTTAGAATTGCATATATGGAAGATCAGGCTTTAAAGTTTTAGGTTCTACTGCCTAGTAAAATTTCCAAAATAAAACTGGGGAGACGCCCATCGGTTGCCAAATTTTAATTTCGCAGAGGAAAGGCATTACAGAAAACAACTAACATATATCGTCATCAATAATTTATGAAGGAAAGGATCATTTTAATACCCGCTAAGCATAAGAAGCCCTAATTTTAGAATGGACAGTTTTATGAATTAAATCAATTTAAGTTGAACTCACTGTACAGTGGTCTTATTTTTTCTGTGTTGATGGGATTAGGAATAGTTCATCACTAAGACAGGGCATAACATGGGCTAGCGGTCCCACAAAATAACTTGTTCTAATGTAGGATTTAGAATGTTCAATTTGTGATTACATTATCAGTGTCTAAATGTGACTCTCCTTGGGGCACCTGGATGGTTCAGTCGGTTAAGCATCCAACTTCGGCTCAGGTCACGATCTCACAGGTCGTGAGTCCAAGCCCAGCATCGGGCTCTGTGCTGACAGCTCGGAGCCTGCAGCCTGCTTTGGATTCTGTGTTTCCCCCTGTCTCTGCCCCTCCCCTGCTCATGCTTTCTCTCTCTCAAGAATAAATAAACATTAAAAAAAATTTTTTTTTAATGTATTCTCCTTGAAAAACATGGTCACTGAAAAGACTGAATCCACACAGTGGAGCCTAATCCTCATTTTTCTCTATTCCTCCTTTGTTAGGCTGAATCTTCAGAACACTTACTGGAAAACAGCCCCCAAATAGTTAAGCTCACTAGTGCACCAGCAGTCTTCCGACACATTCAAAGTGCTCCCTTGTTTCCATGTTATAAACGTGGACATACACAGCCTGCTGCTGGAGGTCCACGTGTGGCACAGACATCAGCTGGCCTTTCTCACAAGTGAAACGAATGAAGAGAGAGAGTCATGATGAGAAAAGCTGTGTCCAACCATTGGTTCCCAATATATCCCTAGTGGCTGAATTAAAAGAACACACCTTGAGACAGACTTTTTAAAATTCCCATTCATTTTAATAACGTTGGAATTTTTGGTTAATTAAGGAGATACCATCAAAATTAGTTCATAAAATGGCATTCAATAAAGAGACCGATTTTGTTTGGAGGGTGTTTTTTTTAATGCAATAATAAAGCTATGATCACTCATATTACTAGGATGTAATATGGCTAAAACGGTTCAAGGACGTTCAAAGAGTCAGAGTATATAAATAAAACATCTAACAAAACTAGCCCAGATGTTCAAATTATTCCAAGCAGAATGTGGGCCCGCTCCCCGGTTAGTGGATTTGTGAGATCATAGTTTTTCATTCTCTACCCTTGTGCTGCCTCTGTATGGACTGTCCTATCACCCAGCTGCATCTTGACCAAATGGCCACACAGGAAGTACAGGAAGCATAGAAGTAAGAAAATCCTGAGCATTTTCATTTTGTTACTAATTGGGACACAAATTTTTAAAATTCTGTATTTAGAAATCTTGGCTAGAAAACATCTTTGGTGGTATAAATAGGCTTTAAAAACTGAAGCTTTTAAGAACAGCTGTACTGTGGACAGTGGCTAACAGTACAGGCTCTGAACTTATTAACTGTGTGAACTTGGGCCTACTATTCCATCTCCTTATGCCTCAGATTCCTCATCTCTAAAATGGAGACAAGGTCTCCATTAATGGTGCCAGTCTCATAGGGTTGGGAGATGAAATCGGTAACATATTGAAGGCACTGAAAACAGAGCCTGGTGAATATATTACTCTTATTGCTACTACTTATTCTTAGAATCCCTGAAAAATTCACTGCATTTATGGAAGATTTTATACTAAAAGAGTTGAACACAGTTTAAGAACCCTATTTATCGATTCTGACACAGAAAATTTCATCAGATGAGCAATGTTCAAAGTTCAGAGAGTTAGGAAAACAGAAAATGCGTAATTGCAAAGAGATCGACCATGCTCTGCAATAAATGCCATCCGTTTAACAGGTCAAAAAAGAAACCTCAAGTTCCGTATTCTGGACACCTAGCGGGAAATCTGAGCGACAAGAACGTCTTCCCCCAGAAGCCAAACTTACCCCTTGTTCGTCCAGTTTCATGAGTTGCTCTGTGACTTTGGGAGTGTTGAAGGCCAACCTCAGGCACTGGACGTTGAGCTCAGGAATCACGTGCTCCAGCACTTCCTTCAGGGGCAGCCCTCTGGCTGTCGAGTGCTTCGCCGTTGAGGGAATGGCATCCTCCAGGACTGAACCTCTCAGGGTCATGAGCTGAAAAACAGACATGTGCTCCAGTGAGGTCTCTCTCGGTGTGGGAGAGGAGTAAATACATCACATGCTCTGAAGGCCTAGACTCAGATGCCCCCGAGGAGCCGGGAATGACTTCTCAAAGGCTTAGATACTTTGTGTATGGAAGACAAGGCCAACACTTTTTCTTCTTTTCTTTTTTTTTAAAGTTTTTTTTTCAATGTTTATTTATTTTTGACAGAGAGAGAGAAAGACACAGCATGAGTGTGGGAGGAGCAGAGAGAGAGGGAGACACAGAATCAGAAGCAGGCTCCAGGCTCTGAGCTGTCAGCACAGAGCCCAACATAAGGCTCGAACCCATAAACTGTGAGATCATGACCTGAGCCGAAGTCTGACACTGAACCAACTGAGCCACGCAGGTGCCCCTATTTTTTTCTTTTATAGAAAGAGAAAGAATGTGCATGAGCAGGGGAGAGGGGCGGAGGAGGTGAAGGGGAGAAGGGGAGAGAGGGAGGGGGGAGACAGAGAGAGAGAGACAGAGAGAGAATATCTTAAGCAGGCTCTATGCTCAGCATGGAGCCCCATGCCAGACTAGATCTCACGACCCTGGGATCATGACCTGAGCCGAAATCAAGAGTTAGACGTTCAACCGACTGAGCCACCCAGGTGCCCCAAGGCCAACACTTTCAAGAAGACCCAGACAAGCCCAAAGGAACTCAGAGTCAAGCCTTCCAAGGATATCTACTTTAAAGCCAAATAAGGTATTTCCTTCAAGAACTCAGTAAGATCTAGACCTTTATATGGCTTATAAAATGTCACTAACCAGGAAATTAAGAAGACATCCCAGAGAAGCATCTGAAGAATGCTCAGGATTTACATGTTATACCTTTCTGATTTACAAGAGATAAGGGTCAAGTTTTAAATTTCATAACATATCATGGACAAGCATAAACTACTTATATCCCCAAATGCTACCACAAGAAGACGATGACTGTTAGTACAGCAGCAGAGTCTACAGCACTGCAAATTACTTTAGATTTCCCCTTATTTCTAGAAACACTTTCCATTATTATGAAATAAACAGAAGCAAAGAAATTTCCCCGTGTAACGAAGATTTGTTAGAGTAAACAAGAAGCCCAAAGCGGTCGCAATTCCCAAAAGGTGTCGCGTGGCTAAGTTGTTAACGTAACATAAACACTGTATGTGACCTACGAAAAAAGCCCCACTGCACTGAACCCCTTTCCATGAAGCCTGTAGGTTACACCGGAGTGACAGGAGCTAACAGAGGAGGGCGTGTCGACAGGCAAGTGTGGCACGTGCGAGGGAAGAGACACACAACCTCGAATTCGGAAGGCTGTATTTACTGGGAAAGGGTAACAAGTTCGGGGCCCAAGAGAGTCCAAAGGCAGAAAACGGAGCATCATGGCTCAGAGCACAAGAAAAGGCCCTCGCGGAAGAGGTGGCACTGAAAAGGCACCATGAAACCTGGGGAGGATTCTGGAAAATGTCAGAGAGCAAAGGCATGGAGATGAGAGGGCGTGGGCGTGAAGGAGCCAGGCTATGGTGCAGACAGAGCTGACGACAGCACAAGGGCAGGGTGGGGAGAGCCCAGAGCGGGCGTGTGCACCCATCAGGCTCCCAGGGGCAACCTCAGACCCTGAGTGCGGAGGGTGATGCATCCCTCAAGAGGAACCGCAAGAGGAAGAAGCCAGAGGAAGAAGCCGCAGGCAGACAATACGGTGAGCAGGAAGCTGCAAGCGTCTGGGAATCAGGCAAAGAGGGCATGATACGCGTCTAGCAGCAAAATGGAGGCCAAAGGAAAAACCACCAGGGAAGCAAAACCTCTAACATCTGCCAGATGATGCAGAAGAGGGAGGAGGGCAGGAAAAGCAAACTTGACCAACATCTTGCTCTCAATCCAAGAACGAGGTCCTATTCACGTGATCAGTATCTCTTCTTTCATTTATAAATAATTTGGTTTCAAGTAACACTTGTGTAAAAACACATCATTTTCCTATGACTTAATACCTAATCTCACAGAAATGGTTTCTCGGATTTGTTTGCTTGATTGTGTTTTGAGTTATGGGAAACCGCCGGACGACCCAGGTACCGTGCTCCTCTGTCCCTGAGGTAACGTGCCTGGAGCCCGGAAGCTACAGAGGCTCCAAGTATTTTCAGCTGAGAAACCAAGCCCGGGAATGCTAATCCTATAGCACAGGGAAGACTGCAGCTCACCTCCAGGAAGCCAAAGCAGAGGAGAAAAAGCATGACTCATTTTTTATAACTGGATCACTAGCATTACTGATATTTCTGTTAATAATTTCCAGAAACAAGGCGAGAGGCCTTAGGAGTCCCTGTGTACCTTGCTTAAAAACACTCACGTGTCACAAGGTTTTCTCCAGAAACTGTCAGCTTTACAAACACGTTGATGTTTTTCTGTTTGTGTTGTGCGCTGATGATTTCTATTGAAATGAAAGAGGAAGGAGCAACATGCCTGTCAGGTGGGGACGGACTTCGAGAGAGGGTTCTATCAGAGGACTTCTGTTAGTTTCTTTGTATGAAAAGCCTCATTAAGATAGTACCATTAAACCACATTTAAGGATTATTTTCACCGGAAAGGGAAAAGTTCCACGAAAGCTAGGGGCACTCCATTAAATACACATGAGAGAGAGGAAGGAAAGAGAATGAAGGAAGGAGACAGAGGGGAAGGGAGAGCACGGCTGTACAATTCTAGGCATTAGCCATGTCACTGTGAACAACTCAGACAACAGACCCCATCCCCACGGGGCTTAAATTCTAGTGGGGGAGACCGAAAACAAACCAAATAACAAGTACAGTGGGTGAGGTAGTATTAAATGTTCGTGAAAAAAGAAAGCCTCACATCAGATGTGAAATGGGATATGTGGGAGCAGAAATTTTAGATCCAGTGGCCAGGGAAGGCCCCTGTGGTTTAGGAGTCAAGGTCAGAAGGAAATGAGAAAGCTCCAGTCAGGAGGATGCCAGGGGAAGAACACAGCAGGACAGAGGACTAGGGAGCAGCCGAGCCCGAGCCCCGAGGCAGAGGTGTCACGGTGGCCCAGAGGGGAAGGAAGCCAGCGTGGATGGAAAGACCAAGGGAACGGATGCTCTCCTAAATTAGCAAAGGACACTGACTGGTTTTTTCTCACGAGATGGGAAGCCACTAAAGGATTCTGAACTGAGGAACGACAGATCCGGTTTGCACTTCAGAAGGATCCCTCCTGGGCTTTCTTTGGATGCAGAGATTAAGGGCAGAGGCAGGAAGAAAGGTTCTCAGTGAAAAATGGTGGTGGCCCTGCCCAGGCCGAGGTGATGGGATGGAAGAAGGGGTTGACATCTGGGCATATCTTGAAAACAAAGTCAACCAGTTTTGCTGACAGCCAGGGTGGGGGCAGGAGGCAGGGAGGGGAGTCCAGTGTGACTTTAAGGTTTCCGGCCTGAACCCCCTCAATAATAGAGTTGTCAGCTAAACATTAATTTGAACATAAAAGCAAGCGGTGATGGTGTTTTGAAGTACAAGTAACAGTTGACTTGGATGTCCCAATCACAGGCTAAGTCAGTGGACCGCAGGGCTCGCCAGACGGGCTAGTGGAAAAGGGAAGGAGGAGCGGCTGCAAGTCCAGGGAAGGAGGGGGAGGTGCAGGTTGAACACTTTGGGCCCAGGGAGTGAGGGATGAAAGGACAGGGCCACCGGTCATGGCAGAGGGATCACATGAACTCAGGATAGCAGTTAACGCTGCAGGGAGAGAGGGAATGTGGCGAGGCAAGCTGGAAGGGATGGTCATGGAGACCAATGACCGAAGTGGCCGGATGGGAGAAAGAAATCTCTCACTTAGAAAACTTCGACCTCTGGCATGAAGGACGGTAGGACAGTGGCAAGAAGAGGCATTTAAATGGATCAAAAACAGAAAAGGAAGAACATGGTGGGGCTGAAATGGGGGTGGCCTTGGGAGGGAAACAGGTAAGAACAGGAAGGCAAAAACACCTGAAGTAAGGTAACAGGCTCACAGAGATCCAAGAAGCCAGAGAGGGGCAACCACCTCGTCCAACTTCAAGAACAGCGTGTTCTCCGTGCTTTTCTACGTTCAACAAAAGCATTCACCCTGCTTAGCGATTAGCTCTGGTGTGGAGAGAAAGTACACTAGGGCAAGAGAGCGCTTCAATCCTCTCCGGCCACCGCGTACCACACATGAGAAATGGAAGTTGTGCCTTTAAAAATCCTAGTTTTAATTTCCCCCGAGTTCAAGCTGAGGAACAATTACTAAGTGAAGCCAACCCCTGACACATGCCTTGTATTCAATGGGGGAAAGAGGTTAACTGTCCTATTTAAACTAGTTTCAAACCCATTATTTTCTAGATACCTCAGGGGAGTATTAGGCATTAATGCCTCACAACAGTCCTAAAGTGAATTTGGTGCAGGGAGGCAATAATAAATTCATAACTGGCACAACTATATATATATATATATATTTACAAAGAAAGCAAACCACTGTCCCAAACTTGTTCATGAGTTTAAAACAACAACAACAAAAAACCCTGCTCTGTTACCTATTTTATTTTTCCTTTTCTTTTCTGACCTGAATTTCATTTTAAAATAAAAACTCACATATTATGTGTGCCTAGATTCCTAAGGAGCTCCAAGAGCCTGTCTCAACGTGCAGTTAGATAGCCCTGGGTTTGACTGGTCTGCATTGTCTCCAAAAGGCCTAGGTAACAGGCCCAAGAGACGGCAAAATGGAAGAAGAAAAGAGCCTTTCCCTCTTCTTGGGTCAAGAACTGGCCTAATAAACACTTTGTAAGAGTGAGTTTACTCTTGGGTGACCCTCTCTCATCTGTAAGGCCCCTGGCTCAACCTGGCTCAGGGCTTTCCGGCCCCCTGAGCCGGATATGCAATATCCACTTTGGAATTCTGAGGGCTCCAATTTCCTAGGGCCACACTTAACTGAGGTATCTTTCTCTGCATCAAAACTCCCATTCATTTATTGCATCTATCCAGAGCTCCATGGAAAGGAAGGATCCAAATCTAACCATTATGTCCACCCCCATCACCACCAGAACGAATGAAAGGGGCCTTTGTTTATTCAAAGGCATTTGTAACTATGTGCTATTAAATTTAATTGCTTTGCTACTGCGACCACTCCATTTTTTCCGCACTCCAATCAAGTCTCAATCTTTCTGGTTTGCAACTTACCTCACTGGTTCTAAAAATTATTCGGTAGTTGTAGGGAGATCCATTTTCCTTCGTCTCTTCTGGCTTTTCCCTCCGAATGCTCACAGCCACTGGTCCAAGATTCTCATCGGCCCCAAAATAGTTCCAGTGTTCTTAGGTAAAATAAGACAAGACAAAATTAGAACATTTACATAACACTTTAAAAATGTTATATTCTGTTTGATAGTAAGATCACTCGATAAAATGTCAATGCATTTAACAAATATTCTTCAATGAGTTACAGAAACAGAGACTTAGATACACAAGTTTGGTCTCAGTGAATATAACACTGAATAGAGGTGGCCTATCGAGTTTTTTGTTTTTTCACTACCTCTGCAACTTACTATTTAACTATAGTTTTTAAAAGAGATTTGCATTCTGTCCCTATATTCTACTGTTTAAAAATTTTTTATTATTATGTTTGTTTATTTATTTTGAGAGAGAGAGACAGAGTATGAGGCGGGGGGGGGGGTGGGGGGGGAGCAAGAGAGGGGAGGGAGACACACGAAATCTAAGCAGACTCCAGGATCGAGCTGTCGCATGAAGCCTGACGGGGCTCGAACCCCTTGAGTGTGAGATCATGACCTGAGTGGAAGTTGGACGCTCAACCGACTGAGCCACCCAGGCGCCCCATACTCTACCATTTAAATGGGCTGCGTTATGTGGGCTTCCTCGCCTAAGGGAAGGTTTGTGCCAATGCTCCTTAGTTTTGTTAAAACAATAGCAACAACAAACCCCTAAATCTGTTGAGAACAGAGTTTGAGGATTGAGGAATTTCCCCCAGATTAACAAAGACTTCCCAGAACTGAAGAGAGGAGAAAGGTCTGTGAGTCACCGAGTCGCACTCTGCTCCCAGCAAGAGTAGGGTCTACAAGGACAGAGCTTCTAAGTACGCCCAGGAGGCGGAAGTCTAGCATGGGGCTCTTGCACCTTACCAGTGGTTCCCATGCAGTGGGCACTAAAGGCAACCTACAGAGCCATGAACCTGGAGGGCACGTGAGGGCTGGGATAACAGGTCCCTCCTAGAGAGGCAGTGTGGCCAGGTGACTGACATGATGATTCAGGGCCCTCCCCCAAACGGGCTGCACTGCTCAAGACTCCAAAGGACTGGTGTTGAATGTACCTTCCTCTTGACCAGATGGAAAGCCAGGATCAAAATTAAATTACAGAAAAAAACTTCTTTAAATGATATTCACTGTACACTAAGTATATACTTCTTTAAAAAAAATAAAACTTGTCGATACATGAGATGGTTCACAGATGAGGAAGTCCACAAAACACAGAAATACATGAAAAACTAAAGTGGATGACTTATTCTTCACAGCACTTTACGTGGTCCTATTTCATTTACATGTGACACAGGCATTAAATGACTCAGACATGACACGGTCAATTTTCCTCATACAAAATGCATGCATTTGAAAATATGTGTCATTCCCATGCAAAATATAAAAGTATTTGAAAAGCCATGAGAATAAGAAGAAATAATAGCATAACATATCTAATCATATAGTTTTAAAATCTGGGTAATGTATATGAAGGTACTCTGCAAGTACTAAAGAGTGGTCATAAAAGATACAATCATATAGTGAGTGAGGGCTCTCCAAGAACGTCTTCATACTCCCTGGAAATTCAAAATAAGAAAACACAATGGGAATACGGGCAATGAACCGCTCACACACGGATAACCAAAACGCAACCCAATGGAGGTCACAAAATTCACTACAAACATTTCTGTATACCCTCAAAGCTCTGCACGTGTGAATCACACTCAGGGGCTGTTTACTACTACGTCGCATACAATTTTAATAAGCTTGGTTGTCTGGTCTTCAAGCTCACTGCTTTGTCTCAGAGGTGTGATCATTCCAGAGGTTGACAAAGTCCAGAGTGTAGGGCTGTTACACACTTGCATACGGACGGCAATGTGATACAACAACTGACAACAAGGAAGAAAACGGAAAGGCAGGAGACAGAAACCGCATGAAAGAGCAGACAAGAACTTAAAGGAAAACAAGACAGCAGTCTGGGGCCGTCTACTGAAGGAGCAAAGAGCTCAACACACTGAAAAAGCTTCAGAGGAGGCGCCTGAGTGGCTCAGTTGGTTAAGCGTCCAACTCTTGGTTTCAGCTCATGGTTCATGAGTTCAAGCCCCGCATCAGGCTCTGCGCTGGGATTCTCTCTATCCCTCTCTCTCTCTGCCCCTCCCTTGCTCACTCGCTCTCTCTCTCAAAATAAATAGACATTTAAAAAATATAAAAAAGAAACTAAACCCTGCATAAAACTCAATGTTTAAAAAGCAGAAAAGAAATTAAAGGTCATGTAAAGTTTTGTGTGTCATTAAATTCTGATCATATTTTTCTGCAATTTTTCACAGCTGTTAAATAAGTACATTTATGAGTTGGGAAATGTTCCGGAGATAAGTATAAGTGATTTCTAATATTTCATTCAGACTCTATCTTCAAACAAACCCATCTCTGGTTTGATAACTCTAGGCAGACTTTGTAAACTTTTGTGTGTGTCGATGCAGAAACCTTTTTGCCTTTTTCCTTGAAAAAGAGCTCCAAGCAAGCATTTCCATTTGTTCCTCTATTTCAGTTTCATGGGATAGATGGGAATTCTGGTCTAGTTCCCTGAGTTAAGTTCACTGCTATCATGGTCAGATTCTGCTTGTCCAAAATGTGTTTCCACTTGAGAAAGACTTACTCTCAGAATAAGAGCCTTGTTTTTTGTGCACACTGTCTGTTTCCTCTGCTCCCAGGGATTACAGAGGTATAGAAAAACACCCTTTCTACACGAACATACCTTTATACAGTTCAAAATCCAAATGTACTGTGTACTCTCTGGCAGTGGACTTTGGTTGAGTATGTCACCTTAAATTGAATTTCTGAGTCCTTAAACTTTGATCTTAAGACAAATGACTCTGATTTTTTTTTCTTTAAACCAAAATACCAAGGGCGCCTGGGTGGCTCAGTTGGTTGAGCATCCGACTCCAGCTCAGGTCATGATCTCACGGTCTGTGAGTTCAAGCCCCGCATCAGGCTCTGTGCTGATGGCTCAGAGCCTGGAGCCTGCTTCCGATTCTGCGTCTCCCTCTCTCTCTCCCCCTTCCCTGCTCATGCTCTGTCTCTCTCTGTCTCAAAAATAAATAAAAAACATTAATAAACCAAAATACCAGCCTTTTTAAGAGGCATCCTATCTGGTCCTTCTGGCCAGTCTTGGTTCTGCCTGTCCTTCAAGCTCAGTACCTTCGTCTTAGCACCTCAGGCTTTGGGTAGCACCTTCGGTACCTGTCCCTGGCTGTGCCATTATTTTTTCCTAGCAGCCCTCTACCTACACCCTTAGCTGGCAGACTTATTCATCAGTTCCACAGGGCTCTTCCAGCCAGATCCACAAATCAGCTTTGTGTTTTGTGAGGATGGAAGGGGAAAGAGAGAGAACAAGAGCGGGGGAGTTGCGGATGAGTGTTACAGAAAGGCCTGGAAGTGTGTGATGGGAGAACTCAGGATGATGAAGTCTGAGGGAGGAGAGGGGAAGGGGAGAGGAACTGGACAATCAAGTAGGGTAGATAAACCTATTGACAGATGAGTTGACATACAAGCATTATACCACCCAAGGCAGTGACATTTCGTGCAGCATACTGGAGTGCCAAACCCAATACCGCACACATTCTGTTACAATGATATCATGTCGTGCACTGAGGTGCTCTGCCAAGCATTCTACCTAATATTCGTGTCCACCATGAAAATACAGATATTTCCTTCTTTTCTACAGATGTAGCAGCTAGGATTTGGAGAGAATAAGTCACTGTCCAGCCACAACTAGCAAACGGCAAGCAGTGCCAGAATTCAAATATATGATCTTATACTGATTCCAAAGCTCATTTTTTTTAGCCATTTGATATTAACATTATCTTCCCCAAAGTTCCTGATACTATATTATGAATTTTAAAAAGTCCAATACAATTTGATGCCTTATGGGATGAACTAGCCAGATCATACATAAAGAGAGTTTTATTGAGCTCAAATTGCTTAAGTGGCCAGAGGAGCAATTTCTGCATTGTGTGCAAAAAAACCCCCAAAAAACCCAAAAAAACTAAAAACACCTGGGTTTTGGATTGGTTTCATATTCCCAGAATAGAAAAGATTTAGATTACTTAAAAGCATCTTAATCAGCAATCTCTGAAAATATATGAAATCAGATTTTTAAAAAATAAACAGGGTTTATATAAAAACAAAAGCTTTATTCCTTGATGTGCCATAAGCAAGGCTTCATTGTGTTTAAAGGGAGAGATATTAACATTTTACTCATAGATGGTTGACTTCCCCTCGCCTTCATTTTCCATATTTAACACCTAAACAAATATTTAGTCTGAAGTTCTTAGTTCTGGTTCCTGAGTTTTAACAAGGATGATACAGAAAGTGCCAATCAGTAGTTCTGCTATCACTAGAATATTCCGCATAAATAACTGTATTTCTGGTTGATACATTCACAATAATAAATAAAAAATTCACAATCTTAGAAAGGGGAAATAGGAAACAATTCAAAGCTCCAGTAATTAGATCAAGTATAGTCACATCACCTGGTCATGAGCTGAGTGTATAACAAGTGTATATGGGGGGGGAGGGGGAGCCCGGTATTTTAACTGTAAAGGAGGAAAGGAAAATACAATCAGAAGAGTTACAGGGTTTCAACCAGCACTTTCTGGACTGTTCCTGTGGTTTTCATACTTGCGGACTTTGTATTACAATTTCAGTTGTGCATTTCCCTAGGGAGATCAGCATAATCTGCACTGTGTAGAATTATGAACAAAAAATACATTTTTGTTTTCTAGAAATAATTTGTAAACTTAAAATATTTCCTTAAAGTTGTCAACTTAGAAATTTAAATAGGGAAATTAGATGTGATAAACGCGAATCGAAGACATGGGAAGCAAACGAAACTTCGCTGCTATCTCCCACCTAACAAACTAGCAACAACATCTCTGAAGTGAAAACTGGTGCTTGGCCGAGCTGAGCTGTCACGTTCATACTCTGCTGGTGGCCCTGCGAATTGATTCCAGCCATTTTAGAAAGCATCTTAGCAATATACGCTGAAGTCACAAAAATGTTCATAT